ATCTCAGTGATCCACTCTTAGCGAACGTCTTCAAACAAAGGGGACGCGTCCATTCTCCTTCCTTGTTGTCCGTCCGGCGTCTGGTCTCTTCGTTCTTGGCTGCTTCAGGATTCCTAGTACAGAAACAGCGATGCGAACGCATCGCTGCAGAGTCTCCATACTTGATTCCGCAGTACTGGTACGAGTAGGTCTTGGGCAACACGCTGTTTACCACATCCGGTTCCCATTTGATTCCGCGAAATGACAGGAAGCAGTGGATCCGGTGGTTCACGGCATCATAGGGCATTCCGCTATGGATAAGGTCCCCACGGAAAATGATGCAGAAACCCACTGGAATTTGCACCACGCGAGATTTGGTGTCGTCGCGCGCAGTGAAGCAGCCATCGTAGACTCGTAGACTTGTTCCTTCCTCCAAAGCGAGAACCATACTTGCCGGGACACGCGTAAACTTGTTCTTGGAAGCTTCAGTGATGACAGATTCAGGATAGCCTTGATTCGCTTCTTGCTCCTCTCCTCCTGGCGTTGAGCGCAGAAAGGAGAAGACTGTAGGAAGCCACGCCGGGTCCAGACAAGCAGTCACAGCGCTAATATCTACTCGCAGTAAACCGATAGAAGGAGACCGAGCGTGAACACGGGACTGTTCGCGGTGTGTGTCGTAATTATCATCACTCACGTCCTTGAAAACGGGGGTGCACGTGCGGGTTTTCGCTTCATCCAGTAGGGCATTAAGCGTATCCGTAGACAATCCGAGGTATGCTACCAGGTAGCCGCAGGCAGGGAGTGTTGGCTTGGGCGCCATTTTAAAAATGCAACGGACACGCCTATTTGCAACGGACACACCTCTAAACGACTTGATTTTTGTATGGTGTCACACACAGTGGATTTTAAGTGAATCTGCAACGGACACGATTTTGAAACATTTTGAGTTTGTATACATCGTTGCAGCGACGGCAAAAAGAATTTTACATGTGTTTTTCTTTCTGGCTTTTATGCACATAACACTGATTACATCCCTTTTTTTACAAATGCCCTCCATAGAAATGGCCCTCTTTAGTTTGGCCCTGTGAACAAGGGGTACAAAGCATTTATTTGGCGCATAACCAAGCCAACCTGGTGCACACGAAATGTATACCATACATGCCTCAAAGACGCAATGAATATAAACAGATAAATCGACTCCCAGTGACGTAAGCCAAGGAAATCACGTGCACAAAAAATGGGCGAAAATCGCATATTTTGTCGATTCTCCATCTCGTAGGCATGACTGGTGATGCGGCAAGCAACAAAGTACTTCTCCAACAGTGCTAGACTCTAGCGATACCTTCCTGGGATTCTCATCCGTTTCTAACATGGTCTTTCTCAATTGACATGATAACCGCGCTCCGCACTCGACACCTGCTTTTTGTGTCATGAAGCCGAGCGGCAAGTGGCGCATTGTTCTTGCTTTCTATACGCTGAATGTGGCCATCATTCCGGCGCAAACACCGACTCCTCGCAAGGATGTTCTGCAGAGCAACATGGCAGGCTGTACGTTGTACAGCGCACTCGACTTGGTCGATGGTTACTACCAACTACTCATGAGAGGGTGAGTACTCCGAGCGGTATGCTTTGGGAGTGGTGATGCCCCAAGATCTGTCGAACGGACCAGCAACGGTCAATCATTTTGTGATGCTGTTGTTCAGGCCCCATCGGGCGTACGCTGAGACGTACTATGACAATTAATTCGTCTATAGCTGTGCTGAGCTCGGAACGTCAGACGTGAAGAACCCCATTGACTACTTGCGAGCGGTGCTCGAGTGCATGCGCACTATTAAGCTGTGTGCCAACTTGGACAAGTGCGTCTTTGGCGCGGAGGAGATACATTTCCTCAGTCGCTTCGTTGGGACTGTAGCTTGCGGGCAGATCATGCCAAACTCAAGGCCATCGTGAACTGGCCAGCTCCCAAGAACCAAAAAGAATTACAGCTAGGAATAGCCAATTACTTGCATTAGTACAGTGCGAACTACGCGGAGATGGATACGGCTATAATCGGATCTCCTTAAGAAGGATACACCTTTGGTGCTGGAACGTCGAGCATGACGCAACCTTTGACACTGTGAAGGAGAGCCTCATTCGGGCACCGATCCTTGCACTACCGGACCCGGATCGTCTGTTTAGCGTCGTCTGTGACGCCACCGACATTGCAATCGGTTGGGCTTTACTCCAAGCCGACGCCAAAGAGCGTGGACGGGTGATTGCGTTTGAGTCTTGCCAGCTTAACGCTGCAGATAAGAACTATTTAGTCCAAGGCAAATCGCTACTTGCAATGAATTATGCTCTAGTCAAGCTCAGGGTACACCTGCTAAGCTATTAAACGTTTGTGATCTTTACTGATCATGTGTCGTTACGCACTGCGACACAGTCGCCTCATCTATCTCAGAGAGTGGCAAGATGGCTTTCCTTCTTTGCCAAGTACATCTTCGAGGTGAAATACAGACCAGGGCGGCTTAATGTGGTGGCCGTTGCGCTCTCGCGCAAGCCGGAATACGGATCAGCCCATGCCACATCAGTTATGCCATCTGTGCCTGACTTGATACGCAAAGCGTGTGCACAGAACAACATGTGCGTAGCGCTGCTACGCGATCTTGAGAGCGAAGAGTTTAAAGACTCTGACAAGGAATTGTCTGAGCGCTTACGCGCGAGGGTGCCTCGATACACTCTCAATGATAGCCAGTTGTATTACAGAACTTACCTTGCGATTACCTCAGGCAAGCCAAGGTGGCGAAAGACTCGGTCTAAACAGCAAAGCGGTACCCCTCACCACCAATGGTGTCCGTCATCACCGCTAAATGAAACATCTTGCTCGATCGGCCTACGAAGACCGCAATACCCGTGCTTCCCGCCTTATCCTTTGGAAGGCCAAACACAAAGTCCATACTGATGGACTTCCAGCATTCCTTGGGGGCAGGCAAGCTCACCAATGGAGCTGCCGTGTTCAGCGCGGACTTTGTCCGTTGAAACGTCTCACACGTGCGTACATAGGTGCCAACCCATTTCTACTACTTGGGCCACCAGTATATGGAGCTCACCGAGCCATAGGTCTTCTTACGACCTAAGTGCCCGCCAACGGGTGTATCATGAGCCCCATAGAGGATTTCGATACTTAAGATCCTCATCGTAAGGAACGACCACATGAGGAGTATCATTGTCTCGGATTGAGACCTGCGATTCACTGCGAAGCTCTGAACATCTCCCTCTTTGGACTGCTCGGCACGCGTTTGGACATGTCCACAGCGAGTCATCCGCAGACCAATGGTCAAACAGAACGCGTGAATCGCGTTTTGGAGGATATCCTTCGGAGCGTATGCGCTGAGGCGCCTAAACGCTGGAGCCAGATGCTCTCACTCATTGTGTTCGCATTAAACAATGCGGTGCATGCTTCGACAGGCTTCACTCCGCTCTATGTGAGCGGCTTGGTGAGAACGCGCGTTCACTGACGCTCCACGTAGTGGCTCAGGGCTTGATGGCGATGGGATAGTCGAGCGGCTGAATGATGTCAGCCCCGTTGCGGCTCGCAAGCAAGTCAATGACTTTTTCTCTTTATAACTGAGCGCTGTGCGCTAGGCGCGCGACGTTATGGCGGAAAGCCAAAACATGCAGAAGGAACATGCGGATGCCAGGAGCAGAAGCAGTGTAGAAAGATTTGAGGTCGGGGACCAAGTTTTCTTAAAGGCAAAGAACCTACCCACGCGTGCAGTGTCTGCGGTCATTAATACCAAACTAAGACCTCGGCTCATTGGACTGGTAAAGGTCGTGGCCTGGAAGAGCCTTGCGTATACGCTCAAGCTTCCGAAGAAGATGCGTACGCACCCGGTCTTCTATGTCGGCTTGCTAAAGGCTTACTTGGATCCTGCCAAAGTGAGCGCAGGCTTGCTGGTACCGAACCCGCAGAGGGTGGCTGTACCACGAACAGCTGCAGGGCAGCAGGTGGTAGAACGACGGGAGGCTGAACGACAGCAAGGTTGATCCTTGATGGCCTCTTATACGTGATTCGTCCAAGTGTCTTGATTGCCGACGGGTAAGCCGCTACCAGCAAGTGGCAGAGCCACAGGTCGCGGAGCGAAGTGCTCGAGATGCGGGAGCAAGTCAAGTTGAACTTTCAGCTGAGTAACTTGACGTTCGAGATCCGAGACCGGGCTGTGCGCAACCGTGGTGACTGAAATCTAATCACAAGGTGGATCATTTCTTCGAGATTGACCGCTTGGCGGTGAACGTGGACGTTTGTGCTTGCGTCGTGGGCGCAGGCGCCGTGTGGACGCAGATGCCGCTCCGACAAGAGTTGACTCTCCGCGATAATCCAGCTAAGGCAAGGCCGCCTCTCGCTCTGCTCGACGAGCATGGTGAGCTCCGCTATCACGTAGAACGCCTGATGGTGCGGCGTAGGTACCAGGGTCGTACCCGTATCTTGTGAAGAGGAAGGGTTACTCTCACTCACACAGCCCATGGGAGTTTGAGGTTATCCTCAGACAAGATTGCCCTGACGTAGTGGGCGCTTTCGACCGGGCACATCCTGATTCAAACCGCCACTATGACGTGCGACAGCGCCGCCTGGCACTGAATACCTTTCACTAGAGGGGAGAGTGAACAGATCAAGAGTTGAGCTTAGGCTCTGACTGTGGCTGCAGCAGCCAGCTCGTACGTATGAGCGGTACTCGCAGCGGGAGTAGAAGGTGAAGAGACCTCGTGGTGTTGGGGACGTGACCCCGAGGGAAACATATGTTTTGTGTTGTGCTGAACAAGGTTCAGACACAAGCATCCCGATACACGCATAGTTGCTTCGAAACAAGATGCTAGATGAGCATGATCATAGTATAAATGCGATGTAGCAGCGAAAGTGGTGTGTCTCGGAGGGGGATTGAGTCACTAACCTTTGGCTTTCCAAACTGGCGCTCTACCATTGAGCTATAAGGGCGATATCCGTACGTTTGTCCGAGTACGACCTACTCATTATATGAGAGGGCTGCGCCCGGGTGGAATCGAGCCACCGATCTGTGATTTACAAAGCCAACGCTCGACCATTGAGCTAAAAGGGTGTTGCCCTTAAGCTTGTCCAGGCTAGGACAATCGTTCGTGGAGCGAGAGGAGCGTCCTGGTGGGATCGAGCCACCCACCTATCGTTGGTGAAGCGAGCGCTCAACCGCTGAACGAATGCCCATGATTCAGACGAGTCAAGAGCAGGGATTTTTATCATTGGCAGTTCAAGCGCCTCTTCGTATCAGTCATATCGTCGTAATACAAATGCTAAGATATTATAATATGAATGAAGAGTGAAACGACAGATTTATATGTCTGAGTGATAAGGCTGTGTCTGCTTGTGTACACTGCTAATGTCTTCAGCGTCGGTTCCTCGCAGCATATCCCGATTGTGTCGTAGAAGGAGTTGTTTTTCAGCGTGAGTTCTCTGTTCTGGTGCTCAGCGGCCCCATAACGATCCCCGTAGTGGAAAAACGCGCCCTTGGTAAGCCTTGCCGAGCTTCTATCTTACAAGAGCGGCGATCAAAGGAAACTGCTTCTGCCCGCTCTCCTAAAACCAGTGCAACATGTCTACCTGTCGATAGAGCTCCGGCGGGCTCCAAACATTGGAGGCTCCAGTTCTTTTCACTCTCGCTTAAGGTGGCATCCGCCCTTTTTGCCCTGTTTTCGACGATCTGTGGAGGGGGGGGGGGGCAGCGAGCAAAGACACACGCACCCAGTCAGCTTAGTAATCGCATCCACTCGTAAACAATTTTTTCGACTTCCTCTAGCAAATGGCTTTTGCGAACGCTGCTCTTCGATAGAGAAGGAACTGGAGAATCGAACAGAAACGTACGACTCGATCGAGGAGCTACCGATTCGTTGGAGGGGCTCTGATCCGGCGAAGGAGATTCTAAATCGATAGGATTGTGCATCTTCTTGTAGATCTCGTAGTGATCTTTCGATAACTTTGCGCGCGCTGTCATGGCCATCTTATCGATAAGGGCGTCCGGGTGCGGCGAAGCTTGACCCATGCTTTCAGCAATTGAAGCAGCGATATCTTTTGTCCTCGGGTCCAATTGTATTGTCAGTATCATGCTCTTTGCAATTGAAGGAAAGCGTGATTTCACTTGTTCTGTGCAACGTGCCACGCAAGCTTTCATGAGAGGACTCAGCTTGTCTCGCGATACAAATTATCTGATTTGAGACGCATCGGTGGTGCCCTTCGTAGGGTGTTTTAGGGTCAAGCACTCGAACTGTGCTCCACGTTAATCGTCAACAACCACGTTGAGAAAAAAAAACAAGCAAAAAGAAAGGCAGTATCACAGAGCACTGGAACTCAAACAGAACTTAGACATGGAATTTATGAAGCCTCCATTTCAATAGCTAGCTTCCACTCGGCAGCCGTCATGCATGAAAACGGGTAGGGACTATCATCACCCTGAAAAAAAAAGCCATGGCGTTGTAGCTTAAAATTATATGTCGAATCAGTTTGCAACACCCAGCCACCCGCCTATCAGGACTGATAAGCAGTATAAGCTCGCGCAATGACAAAGCGCTCTACACTCGAATCAATTGGACACTCCTGTTGCCAGCTCCGAAGTATGCACCAAGCTACGAAGCTTGGAAATTTGCTCCCACCCTTGGTCAAATTTCCCTCCTGGTTGTAGTTATAGTCCTTATCACTAGATGAGTCTTCATCTGGCTGTTGTAGATTTCCTTTATAACAGTATTATCTCACATTCCAAGATCGCAGTTGATACGCAAGTTCATCATATACATCGAGCAGTCCATCCGATCAAGATCGGGAAAATAATGGGCTACGGCTCTAGCGGCAGAAGCGGTATCGGACATTATCCACTTCACTAGGGTAGAATGTCCGTATCATACACTTCTTACAGATGCTTGTGAATCCTGTCAGCAACTAAACTAGACCCGTGTCCGTCCGGCATAACGGTAGCGAGCACAGCAATGCAGCGAAATTTTTAGCAGTGGTCGATGAACGTCAACGCAATTCCAGTTATGTCATCTTTTGACTTGGTTCAATAGCCATCGCAGATAAGATTGACGAGTTTCAGCCCTAATGACGTTTCCGCGTTGAATGTCAATAGCACGGCGACCGCTGTCGTGAAAAGAATGAACCTCCCGCTCACGGTGGTATCGTAAATCTCTCGGGAATTACTTTGAAGCTTGTGTTTTCCGCCCCAATACGAAGCATTCCCACGAGCGACTCCCTTTGAGTAACGAAGGACAGTCCTTCGCTAACCAACCACTTAGCTATCATAGTATTGATTAGTTCATGAGACAGTCGAAAGATCTCCACAATTGATGCCTTCCTTACACGGGGAGCGGCGGTATTTTTCTCCTTGGGCGCTATTCTAGCCGCTGATTCCTTCCGCATTCCTGAGCAAGCTCCGCATCGCTCCGTGCCATCTTCTTCGCCGCATGGTTCGCCGCGGAGGCCTCTGCGGTTATTGTCAGTGAATGGTCCTTATGATTTCCCACGAAAATGCGACAGAGCATTGGTTGTTGTCGAGGTGCAGCGGAGATGTCACTTCCACGCGTTCGAATCACCCCTTTGCTAACTGTTGGTGCTCTCAACGCACAGCAAACAAACATTGCTTGCCTCCTTGCCTTTTGACCCGCGTGGCTTGACAAATGTTTGCAATGAATTCAAACGCTATGGGAACAGTTATCACGACGGAAGCGCTCTATCTAACATTTCAGTGTGCTACACACATAAACGAAATCCTCTAACGGAATGCCGTACGAGTCATACTTCTGCGCAGCATCAATGACACAGTCATCATCTCCACCTTGATCATCGTCAGAATCGCAATCTACTTCGCTAGCGAGTGGTGCCATATCATCAAGCTAACACCTCGTGTCGGCATCGTCACTCCCATTCTCTATCGCAATTACGCCTGCACCGCTTTCAGCTCTCTGTCCACATGGCGGCTGGTCCATCTCGGCACATGACGTCTAGCAAAAATGCACAAATACGGTAAGTCCAGGACACTGTGGTTGTGAGTAGTCGGAAGTACTTGCCGTTTGTTGAGCGTCTTGTTGTGTATACTCAAGCTGCACATGTGATGAACTGACGCCGTACACGTTGAGCAAGGCTGAGTTACGACGTTATCCTCGGGGCCGAACTCGCAATGCCTCGCCGCGCACCGCATCGCTGCTCGTTGGGTTTGGTCCCAGTTGAAGAATACTCTTCCGGCAGCTGCATCAGTGATCAGAGCGCCCTTCCAATTTATCTGCGAAATATCAGCAGTTTATGAAAGCGATAGGCTTATATATATCAGATATTAATATTTTTAAGAGAAAACCAAATTATAAAGGATGTGGAGAATACTATGCAGTATATGCATAACAACTCTCTGGATACAGCGCAATCGAGTCGTTTTTCAGCATGAAGAATTAACAATGGAAGGAGATCTGCAAGCGTTTTGGGTACAATACAAAGGCCAATACAAGCAGTACGATAAATGGTATATCCCTAATAAAAAATATAATCGATGCTAAAATCACCTCTGATGCGCATCCCTGGCCAAGAGCCTAGCCCTAAACACTTTTGCAGCTTCTGGAGCAGGCGCGGAGCGCGAGCGTTGGTCTAGGACCGCAGGAGAAGGTGCGTTGGGAACGTGGGGACGTGGGCCGACGACGAGAAGCTGGGCAGTAACGATGCGTAGGCGTCAGAGAGCATGGGGAGCGGTACAACGCTGGCGTGAGGTGTAGTAACCTCCACCGTCTTGACAAGACGTGCACTCACTGAGGAAGTTTCGAAACATGGATGTTCTCATCTTAGCGGGGAGAGTGTAACGGGGTTACGCGGTGTGGAGCACACATGGGTACGGGGTACCCGGATAGTTAACAAACGTACAGTACATAAGCCGGAGGCTAACAAGATTTCTCAATACGTTGGCTGAAAGCCACACGTTATGCATTTGATTTGGTTTAACTATGCTGTATTAGTTAAACAGATACATAATTACCCCTTATGCGGTTTGGCAGCAATAATAGTAAATAAACATTTCTGGTTTAAGGCATAACATTACGCTATTAGCTTTGAGCCCTGGTTGTGGGCTGTAAGTGTCCTTCAGGAAAGGAACTTGGTACTGGTGACTCTTTGAGGCAAACGTCTTCCTCTGACGCTAAAGCTCCGGCACTCCCGTTGCAAAGTTGTTCAGCGGTCGTCGCAACAAGAACGAAAATTCGATGCAGTGGTTGAACTACTTCGTCTACAATATGAAGGGGACCCAGACACCACCGGTCGAGTGGTGCACGGTGTTTGAGCTGAGTATGCGTGATGGCGTTATCCAATGGTTCAGACAACTACCAAAGAAGACCCTTCACTGGTGGAAACTGTTGAACAAGGAGTTCCTCGACTATTACTGCTCGACGTACAAGCAGCCTCCGACGTCTCGTTACTATTAACGACGCGTGAGCGTAGTGAACACGTCTGCGATTACTTAAAGCGACTTAATGACTAAGCGCGCAACGCTCGCCTCAGGCCAAGAAGATGCAGCGTGACGCCAAATATCACGTGGCAGTTCCTTCACACGTGCGGTGATGATTGGCTGATGCGCGACCTTGGACGGCTGAGGCTGAGCAACGTCCGAGAGCCGGAAGAGCTGCTAAATGATCTTTTCAAGGGTCAGGAGCGACATATCGCCCGAGGCTCGATCCAGCTCCGGTACAAAGATGATCTGTACAAGTGCAGCGACGTCCACAGGCGGAGCGAAGGCAAAATCGATTAAGACCTTGGAATACCGTCGAACGATGTGCCTATTACCATCAATACCGTCATTACCGGCGCGACTATGACCGTCGCGAGCTACATAAGCCGGACCGCCCACGCGATGATACACGCCGTGTACTAGGAGTGATGTTCACAGACGCTGCCGATCGTGACAGGATAGCAGATCTGGTCGATGGGAGCGAGAACGGACCGGGCGACAGCCCACCGCGGAGATTGGATCGACAGAGGAAGTAGCGCCTTGAGCGACGATAATTGCTATTCCAGCTATAGCGAAGAATCGTCGTCGGACGAGTCAACGACGACTCGCTGCAGCCA